GATAGATAGATAGATAGATAGATAGATAGATAGATGGATGGATAGACTCTCTTCCAGAGTGTCTCTGGTCCTAAAGCTTTAAAGTCTCTTACTTCCTGTTAGCATGTAGCATCAGTGGATGCTAGCTGTGGAATCTGTGTTCTAGCTGGATGCTAAAGCCTTGATGCTAAAGCCTCTGCTAGCATGTAGCATCAGGCTGGATGTTGGAGCCTGTTTCTGGGTAACGGTGTGTTTCACCTGACTGTTTCCCTCTCCTTTCCTGCAGCGAGCTGGAGGAGGAGCTGATCTTCCAGGAGTTTAAGCGCTCCTACCTGAGGGGCATCATCGGCGACGATGACGACGAGGAAGGAAACGTGTCCGGGGGCGACGACATGGCGCCCAAAGAGAAGTAGGCCGCCAGTCTCCCAGAAGATTCTTCTAGAGCCAGACGCCCAGCAGCAGGATGGGCGATATTCGGTGTTTGTTGTTTGTTGCTTGATGTTGAAAAGATCCACGAGACAAAAATGTCTTTATTAAACATTGTAGACATTAGAGATGTCATGTGAAGAAGTTATTACATTCATATCTGTTTATTCTCACTTTCATACAGTTCATTTATTACTCACACATTTAAATAGTGTATTTTCAAGTAAGAATTAAAAGATACTTTACTATCCAGTTCACGGCTGTTGAGTGGGTGATTATTCCAATAACGGATATCAGGATAAATATCTGTTCTCTTTAAGGCATTTTGGACATGGTGACATCATCTGACCACCGTTAGCCGACCCGATCACATCTGACTACAGTAGAACCTCTGCATACAAATTTAATTTGTATGTTAAAACATTCATATGTTATCAGATATCAGAGGGTTGAATATTTCTTCTCAGAGAAATTAAATAAAAACTAATTACTGATATGTTTACTTCAGAGTTGTTCTTTTCTCATCATTTTTGGCCCAATTATTGCCCAAAATTTGCTCTTTTGTGAGTTTCTCATGTGAAACTTGTACCGTGTGTTTTTTTTGTTTTTTTTAATGAAATGAAATTTATTCGAACATGATACAAATATAAAAATAAAATAGTGCACAGTAGCAAGACGTGCATCAGAAAGAAGAGAAAATACAGATTTTTAGTTTCAGTTAACATATCATGCTCAAAATGGGGTAGGAAGAAGTGAGAACTTATAAACTCCTACCCCTAAACAACACAGGAGCTTCTCACGCTTAAATTCTCACTTTTTTCAGGGATGTAACACAACTGAAGTTTATTT